GCATGTGTACTAGACAGTATCAATAAGTATCGAATTATGATTATCATAAGCAAAGTTCTTGCATTTTTCTCTCTTCTGGCAGCTATTATTGGTCTTGCAGTAGGTATTGTTTTTACTACTAGCAATGAAGGTTTGCTAATCAAAGTATCGTTGAATGTGGCAGCAATATTAGCAATAGTGGGTGTGGTTTTCAATCTGTTTGGTGCTGTTATGGCAGCGATAATTCGTTAAATACGCTAAATATAATTTTAAAGATATTCGCAACTTAATCTATGGCAATACTTCTCTCTTTTGATTTAAATACATTTTTAATTGTGCCGTCTTTTTCTTAACTGCTAACATGAATAAAAGGTTTCAGAACAACCATTATGAGAATAATACATTAAATGCAATGAGAAATCTTTAAAAAAAAAGCTCTACAGACCATACCAGATATGTCGATATGCTATTTTGGACTTTCAATCGGCAATTTTATTTTCTCAAGTAGTTACATATTTTAATATAAAGGTTGAAAGATCAATTATGTGGTAGATGAGCTCAAAAGGACATGTCTACCATGGTGTGTGTCTTTGGATGAAGATACGTCGTCTTCATCAACAATCACAATTAGACTTTTCTGATATCATGGATGAATTAATAAAAAAAATGCGCCCGCGTTCTAGAGGTTTTTACTATCGAAATTCCATTTTTAACCCTTTGGCTCCCGGCGACGCATATATGCGTTTGAATCGATTTATCGAATAAAGGCATCAGTAGCATACTTTTTAATCGTTTAGAAAAGCTTTTTATCATTTGTTAGGTAGTGTCATACAAGTATATTTCTTCTTTGGTTCCTTTCGGCTTGATATGATCAGAGAAGTTTGAACAAAGTTCGAACCACAAAGATCAACTACTATTGGAAGACCATTGACAAGGCCTTTTTCTCTGTGTTTAAGTGCCCGACATTTTCCTTCGCTCATTCCGCAGACATGGCAACTAACAACAGTCTCGATGAAAATGCGTGGTTTGCTCGTTCCATAGTCTTCGACGCGATACACCATATGTGTCCTGACTGCAATGTACATCTATGTATTGTTGATTGCTTCAAAGACTATCATACAAAGGTGAATTATTAATGACTTTTTTAAACATTACTTTTAAAAAATTTGATTTTCGCAAAAAGAAGTCGGGAGCCAAAGGGTTAAATATAATATTTGACTTTTTTTCGGTCCTCTCCATTCATTTTTTTTCTCATCGTGAAACCTGCACGACTTTATATAGAAAAAGTATTAAGGAAGAAATAATATTTGCATAATATGTAAAAAAAAAAAAAAAAGGTGTACAACTATTTTCATCATGCGGTTAATAACGTCGTACTTTGATATTGTAAGCGCGATGTTTTTTTTGTTTTGCTTGCTTACCTGCCACATAAAGTGTGGGTATGGATGTGGGTGTGGGTGTGGGTGTGGGTGAGTGTGGTGTGGATGCGGGTTGATGTGACTTTGTTATTTGCCTTTTCTTAGCCCACAGCCACAGCCACAACCAATTCTTCAAAGAAAATGCGACTATGCAAATTTAAGAATCAAAATTCATTGATAATAAGTTTATTTACTACAAGAAAAAAGCGATGAACACTAGAAAAATTACGAACACCAAATCGGAATGTATCATAATTGGAGATTTTCAAACAAAGTTTTCTAAAACATACAAGGAATTATCTTTATGTTTCCAAGTTCACGTTTGAAAATGAGATTTCTGAGCCAGTGCTCGTTAAGGGGGCCCCCTCAGAAACGATTTCCCACTTAAGATGGTTCTTTCGAGCTGAGATTTTCAGGAATGAGTGATCCTGGGGAGATACGCTTCTGGTAAAAATGTCAGCTCGATTGGTCGTACTAGACCGGATTTCCAGCTGATTCACAGGTCGTTTTTGGCCTTCAGAAGAATCGATATAACTTCGTCATAAGATGAGGTAGAGAGCTCGGGCTGGTTTCAAATTAAAGCCAATGTCAGTACGCAACTTTTGTCCGAACAGAATTTATATATTCCATATGGTTCATTTTTTATGAGCATTTTAGTGGAATGGTCTTAAAATTAGCATAAAAAATGGTGGTCCAACGACAGTAAATCCCACTTTTCTCAGCCGAGGAACCAACTATAACAAATTCGTTTGGACAAAAGTTTACTCTTATTGAGAGCTTTAAGTTTGGAAGCCATGTTTCGAGAAAAACGCTAAAGAAGTTCCAGAAGTGGATTTTTTCATTCAAATCCAGAAAAAATCATATTACAATTGCATACTTTTAATACATTTCAGTGAATCGTTTTAAAGGACCTAACAGATGAAGATAGCTAACGCCATCTGTCATGCTGGTTAATATAAAAATGTTCTATTCAATGCTAATGCAATTGACAACGCAGTTTTTCCAAAACAGAAAAACACGAAAATTTCTCCGAAAACCTGGTAGTAGAGTCGAAGTTTTTTGTGGTAAAGGATGATTCAAAAGTCTTCTCCTTTCTTAGAAAAATTACTCATTCTCCCTTATTGTAAATCCAATAACGCTCAAAATTGGACGTCTAATCTCTAGTAACTAGATGAATATTACTCTAAATTTTCAGACCTCTAGTCCATATTATAAGGGAGATACATAGGCTCGTACGATAGACAAAATCTTTTTTAATGTCCCAAAAAAGTTTGAAAAAAATTTATATCAAAAGAAATATCTAGAATAATTAATTTTCACTAGTAATACAATAACAATCAACATAATATTTTACGTTTTCATAAATCATTATAGTCTTTTTTGTTGACTGGATAAACCTTCTTTGTTGATTAAACATTGTAATCTTCTTGGTATTGAATTCATCAATTTTGAGCACATTTGTGAATTGATTGTTCTCCAAATCTCTATAATTTTGTTTTTCAACATCGGTAGAGTTAAAATTTGTTGTCTAAGTTTTTTATATTTTCGCAACATTAATATTTAAATCATCGCAAAATTAGAAATTGTTGAAAAAGATTTGTCGAAAATGAATGATGAACAATGGTCATATGTTAATATACATCCAATCAGAGTTAAAGATATTTAAATAGATATACTATAAACATCTAATTAATCTTGAAATATAATTCGATTCGTTATAATTCTCTCAATACTTCCTCATTCTGGTGTGTTTCTTTTAACTTTTTTCTTTTATTATTTTATGTAACTTCTCGCTATTTTGATTTTAGGGCATCGAGAAAAAATTTTGTCTATCATACGAACCTATATATCTCTCCTATAATAAAGACCAGAGATCTGAAAATTTTGAGCATTATCGGATTTGTAATAAGGGAGAACGAGTAATTTTTCTAAGAAAGGAGAAGATTTTTGAATCAACCTTTAAGTCTATGAAACTCTGATCGTTTTTCGAAAACCTATATATATTCTGAAAGAGGAAGCTTCGATGCATCGTTCTATGACAAAAACTCAACTTCGATATTTTATCGAAAAATTGGGTTTCCTGAGCGGAGGCCTTATGGATTGTTATGTTTCTCTTCTGACGATTGTGCCAATGGTTTTTCAAACTTGAGTTCAATATCATCTTCACCATGACCCTTAATCGTGTCCACATAATATTTACCCTTAAATCGGCGTTCCGTCGAGTTCCAAGTAACTTTAATCCTAACACTATGTTTCAAATTCTCTTGAAGATCTCCTCTGTTTTCTTGATATTTCTTTATGAGTTCAATTTCATTCGTTTCTGTTGAGTAGAGTGTGGGTGTGGGTGAGTAGAAGATTCAAACCCACACGCACACCCAGAGAAATATCCTATTCATCAAGCTGTTTCTTTATTCTTTAACGATTTTTCAGTTCAAAAACTTTTGAACTGAAATAATAAGTCACTGTTTTTTGGTTTCTTGATTGATAAATTTTATTCAAGTTTTAGAAATTAACCATTATATTCAGAACTTAATTTATTTCTAGTTTTTGTTCTACGACTCAGAAAGTTATTTATTATCGAATTTTATTTACTGAAGAATTCATGTTTTCACTTTTAGGTGTGCATTGATATTCGTTTATTAGTACGTTTTAAAGAAATTGAAATATCATTTAGTATTGAATAGATTCATAGAAATTATTTCAAATTATAAAAACTGCTTGGGACAATCCGAAAATGATTTATATCTCTGTGATATCCCATACGTTTTCAACTAATATCATAGTTACAAAAAAAAAGTACATGGATATTCATTGAATAACTTGCGATAGAAACAATAGAAAGATCTCCAGTTTTGACTGGTGGAACGATTTGAATAAGATGCATACAATCTTCCAATAAAATTTTTTAAAGTTTTTTCATTAGGCTTTTTGAAAAATTAAGCCATACCCTGCCAGGTGTTTACAATGCATTTTTAATTAAGAACAGTCTAAAGCCCAGATATCCAGGGTTCCTTATGCACGAGTTACAGGTGTTCTACTCAAAACTCTCAGTTACTTTTTTTCTGTTGATTGAAAAATATACTTTTTCGATATTTTTACTGAGAAAAAAATCTAACTATACTCCAAAAAATATGATTGTTATAGGACTTTTATTTTTATTGAGTTATTTTTGAAATAAATGATATTGCAATCATTTGCACTCATTCGATGGAATATTAATTAAAACTATAACTCTCAATTTGATTATTTAATAAACACCGACCAATCTATTTTTTTGGTTTAACATCATTATAAAACTTGTATCGTATTGAAGCATTTTACTCAAAAACTAACATCAAATACAGTTTATTATATTCAAATTATTAATTACTAATAAAGAATTTTAGACAGACTTGTATTTTCAATATTGTTTATCTATTTTCCAGTTCATCAAATAATCAGATTCATTATTTTCGTTTGAAATGAAACAAAACACAAATATATTAAAGGAAACGAACAAATTTCTTTTATTCAATTGAAATTCTTTTCTACATCCTCTGATAAATATTTAAGTAAAAGCAAAATTTGAAAAAAATAAAGTTCATACACAATCACAATCGGTCTTTAGTTGGCATCTTCTAGACTTGGCTCCTCTGTGTTTTCATTTTTGATCAAAATACCATATGGACGAATAGCATCAGGATCAACAAAACGCCATGCATAGCCTTCTTGAACCGGCCCTTTGTGTATTGTGAATGCATCTGGTTTGACACGACATTGAAAAACAACTCGAAATGTCTCAGTTATGTCTGGCGATTTTCTGATGGTAAATGGTGTTGTATATGTTGGATGTGATCCACCAGTACAATGTGTTGCTACATAAAGTCCTGGCCGATCAAAGTATTTTCCTTTCTGTTCAACAGCTTCTTCTCTCATCAGATCGACTTTAGTGATTAAAAGACCTTTTTCTTTAATACCTTTAACAGCTCCTCCATGAGTACCATGAAAAGCAACAGGCCATTCTCCATCAAGATTATTACTACCAAGCCATAGTTTATCTTCCGGATATTTATCAACAACTTTAAGTGCATGACGGTACCATCCAATGGGTAAATAATATGGAAAACCTCCACGTTTATCTTCTGTAGGCATACTTGATGTGTAATCAATATTGAATTCTGGAGCGAAATCAGTTGGTTGTAGCTGAAAATACGTTATGAGAGGCTTCCATTTATAATCATATTCGTTTTTTTGAACATGTTTAAGAATTCGATGATTTGCGAAGCCATTGCGAGCTCGAGCCTATAAAAAAACAGACATGAACCAGATGATAGGAACCGAAATTTTCAAATGATATCTCTTATCTATCTTAATTGAGTCAAATATCATGTGCTCGAATATTAAAGCTTCATATTTATCAAACAAATGAAAATCTCAAATGTACCTTAAGATCTTCGACAAGTTTTTGTGTTTCTGTTGGATCTGGCGTCGTTAAACCAAAGTTGATTTTCGTTTGACGTCGATTTTTTTCTAGTTTATTAACAGATGTAACTCGAACATAATCATTTGAACAGGTTAGTACTTCAGCTATGGCATTAGAAAAATCTAATACAAAATTTTGCATTGTTTCACTTGATCGAGCAAGATCAGTTTGATAATTAAGATCAACTACGAAACTGAATTGGGCTGTAGGAATATAATTAGTAGCTAATAAGTGAGCACTACTCAAGTCACTTATACCACAAGCTGTACGCTGAGCTGGCTCTTTAAATGTTAAATCTTCATTAGTAAAACTTAGTTCTCCACCAAATTGTTGAACAAAATTGTCTAGAGCAATTATAAGTGTTTCAGTATTGCTTTCATTAGGGTCAAGTGTTGCTTTACGAAAATTATTATTTGGCTTGTCGTTAGCCGCACGATATTGAGCTACAACATTAAATTGATGTTGTTCATTCTCAGTGATACCTTCAGGATAAACAATATTCTTTAATGATTCATTTTGATTGTCATGTTTAAACCATTCTGGAGCCATTTTTAATTTAGTGGATTTATCTCCGATAATTATTTGAATAATTTTTGGTTTTAATATAATTAGGACTCGTGATGGTATCACAACAACCTTTTTTTTCTTTGAATCATAGAATTTAGTTACTGCTTTTGACATATCCATTCCTATACTCTATAATATTAATCTAAAATATATTCAATATAAAGTAATATGAGGCCCATCTAAATCTGAAATATCAATTCATAATAAATAAAAATAACGAATCGAAGAATACAAGGTGTATAGTGTGACATATAAGAATGCACTAGATAAAGCGTTTGATTCATCTATTTAAACAAAAGTGATTTGTTGTAGTATGAAGCGTCTGTTGGGCAATTTTCTTTTTGTCTCATCATTTTAGACTTGTAACTGGTAGGATTTTTTCTCATCGGTATTAACTATCGTTTACTTTTCTTATCCTTTAATAGTTAAAGCTTCTAATAGTCATATTTACCTTTGAACCACAATAGTTATGATGTACGGGAAACTGTTTCACTTATTCTGTACATAAGATTTTTCTCTTTTGGTATATATATCAGTGAATAGAAAAGTTCATAGAGGTCACCCATAAAAGACATTCTAGGAATGAACGAAAGTAACAGTCAGTCAAAGTCGAACAGTTTCGGAAAGAGAGAGGTGACTAACATTTACAGAAATCCAGACGTTGTTCATTACGATTTGTTGACGAGTTCCCACGAAATTTTAAAGTTAAGTAAGTTTAAACTATTTTTAAGAGAATTTCTCATCGGAATTCTATGGTATTCAATTGACGAATGAGGCAGCATATGGATCATAAAGTGTCTGTTTTACTTTTTTATATACTATGCGTTTACTACAAAGGACATGTCTCCTGATTTTATCAGGCGTATCCTGGTTTTCCTCAGCTTTTTTATTTTTTTCTCACCTTTAATTTTAGTGACGTTTTGGGCCACTAAAAACCTGTGCAAGCATGAGAACACACAAAGCAAAGATATGAGAAAGAAATTTTTCAAACCATTCGAAAGATGTAACACTCAATAAGAAACACGTTATTTGTGCTGATATCATTAAAATTAAGATTATCACTCGCAGAAACAGAGTCTATATTGAGGACTTGCATACTCTAGATTAAAAAAAAACATTTTTGGAATTTTTAGCGAATGCTTTCGACAAGAGAAGATGAAATTGATGAAGTTTCAGTTTCATTCGTGAAAAATCTTTCAACATAATCTTTATCAAAACTTGTAAAAATTCGGATTTCGGTTTTACTAAAAAATAATCCATAATCTATAACAAAATCTATGCCATAGGACTTATTGAATTTTATTTCCATAGCATAAATTGCTATTGAAATGAGTAGATAAAACATATGAAGTGTATCGTAGCATATTTTCATCTCACAGAAAGATACAACAACTTGAAAAACAATTAGAACGGACCAGATCTTGATCTTTGTCGGTCACAAAATTGTATCATTCAATAACATAGCGTTTATACTCGTAAAAGATAAAGTAAAAAAGAAAGAAGAAGAAAAACTAAAGTTCACAAATAAAAAATAGTCGTTTCTCTATAACTGTTGAAAAATTTCATCGATTGTTCAAATTTGAATATGTATCAATAGAAAACAACGATATACGATTATGTAAGATCGTCGTAAAACTTTACTGTATATGTATATGGCAAAGAAAAGTTTACCTGTTGGTTAATCGATATTTTTTTTTTTCTACAGACTCAATATGATATCTGTTATCGACCGTTTTCATCAATTTGTATTAATTATTTGGAAGAGAATTCATTTGATTGTCAAAATCATTATTTGTACGCGTAAATTTTCGAGGTAAATTGGATTAATTCTGCAAAAAAATTAGAATAATACATATGTCGACAATGAAATTTTCTAATAGATTTGTTCAAGTTGTTTTAGTTTGAAAAACAGAGAGAATTTTTTTCTGATGAAACGATATTGTGAAAGTAAAATTAAAAAAATAAAATGTCAAATAAAGAAAAAATACAAATTATGCAAAGTGCATTAACTACAAAAAGAATTGTATTCAACATTCGTCTAGGTGACTAAAATTTCCAATTGTATTTTTTATTGTGTAAATAATACACATTTTTTTCTTTTTCCGTTCTTTTTTTTCGTTGAAATCTCATAGTGATAGATATTCTAGAATAAGTATAACTTCAGTTGTATGTCTCAATTTTAATTCATTTGAATACGTCATGTTGAGAAAAAATAGTTTTTCAATTGAGTCAAAATCATAAGAATGAAAATTTTTCTTTAATATTCTATTTTTGTTGTGTTTGTAGATGAAAACTTGTTTGAAATTGTTTCTACATATCGACAATAATGTTTTACATCGAAACAAAAAGGAATTTTGATTGTATCACATATTGACCACTGTTTCCTGACTTGCAAAAATGAGCAATTAACGCGTTAAATGGAAATGTTTCAATGATAGTGCTCAAGATTCTCTCTTTTGTTCAACACGTTTTAACTAGTTAATGATTCCAGCCAGGATACTACTAGATTGCAATGACGTATTT